CCCCTTTACAGCCGTTTTATCGACAATTGTATTTCTTGCTACGTATTTCTTGTTTCTTTCGAAGTTCGTTAACTTTTATTTCGGGCGACGTAAAACCGGATTAGGCCCGATTGCACCAACTTACTTTGATTTTAAGTCAGGCTTAAAACTTTTTCTGTCTTTGTTTTTTTTTTTTAGCATTAAAACGAGACAGATAGAGTTTTAAGTCTTAAGAGTTTAGAGCTTAAAGTCAAAGTGACATTAATTGATGCAATTGGGCCTAAAAAGCAAAAAGACAAGATGTAAAAAATAGCAAAAAGCAAGAAACAGAAAACAAAAAGCATATTGTAGAATAGGCTTTAAAACGCTTACGGTGAATTTCGCACTATACTATATCAGTGTATATTAAAAGCTGTTTCATTTATAAAATATCTCAATGCAGTGATACAATATAATCATCTTTGACAATGAAATGATACACGTACATTTTAATTATTAAATAACATGACAATATCATTAATAATATTGTTAATCGTTCAAAATATTTATAACTTTGATTATTTCATGCAAAGCAGCTTTTATTAGTACTACTAATCTAGTGTTGTGCAAAGTGACCGAATTCGCAATTAGTTTCTGATATAGGATTTTTTAAATAATTACTTAACAATATCAAATAATTAATAGAATAGTAATAGAAAATAAGATAAAATTTAACACACGGAAATAAACCAAAATGTGTGTTTATTTTATATAGATATAAAAAAAACAAAATAAAATTTAAGAGAAATAAACGAAAAGGTTTTGTTTATAATTTATAATTTATATGAATGTTTTTAAATGTTGATCGATGGGATATGTGTCTAAAATATTTGACACTTTATTTATATATATTTTGTATAGTTAGAAATATTATTTAAAATAATTTTGTCAGTTATTGAGAGAATAATAATTACTGCAGATTAACTGAAATTTGATCGCTCTTAATGATTGATGTTCGTTATTATTCTTAATGATTGATTGTTCGTTATTTTTAGTCGACCTTTCCTGAATTGATGTCCAGGAATAGGATAAAAAAATATTTTTGAAGAGAATTATTACCCAGTAAAAACGAGAATGGATTAAAATGGACTGACATGTTTTCCTACGAATGCGTATTTTAAATATTGAATACTTTTTTTTGGATTTAATTGGATTCAATTAGATTCAATTGAATGCAGTTGGATTGAAAAACCGCATTTCCTATTCCTATAATTTTGAATTGAACAGTAATGTGTGTGCACAGAAAAAGCTAATATTATTTTTAGATTGAAAGGCATAGAGATATGCAAATAAATGAATAAAAATGCATTCAGGATTGAAAAGCGTTTATTTTAACATGAATCAATTATTTCTGAAAATCTGAATCCATTTCAATTCATTTCAATCCATTCTCGTTTGCTGGGTAACGAATAAATTCAATAAATTGAAATGTATTTTACATAACTTGCTTTTTGTGACGATCATTAGATTAATGCTTCATTTCCGTCAATGTAAATTAACTATCTCGTTAATTTATTTTTCATTTTTTTTTTCTAGTTTTTTTAAAAGTAAGAAAAAGATGGAAAATAAGTTACACCGAGATTAACGAGATTGGAGAAGATAACAAGCATAATAAGATTTCAATTAAATCTCAGATAAACACACGATTATCTTTTATCTGAATTAGATTCTGTTTTTGTCTCCGAGTATTATTATCTTCGTATGAACAATCACGTAAACATGAACGTGTCATGCTGGTGATTTTTATGATTTCATCCGCAATGATATTAACATCAAGAATTACGAGTCATTGCATTGTTGTAAACTTGCCGAACGTTTTCCAAAGAAAAATTTATCTTATAAATGCGTTTTTACTTGCCTCTCGTCTTCTTATAGGTAACTCTTTTTTTACCATTCACAAAGTCCAGACATACGATTTATTACTTTGTCACAAAAAAGAGAGGGGGGGGGAGGGCTAGAGAGAGTTTGAGAAAGTATAATAGAATATTTAAATGAGTACCGCATCACGATTCACTAATGTGACGGTTGAGCAATTTATGTTTATATCGCTTGAAAACGATTAGCAAATTGATTAACAATTTTAATGTAAACAATTTTTTGCAACAGGATTACGTAAAACAGGAAATGATTTTGCGACGAAAGATGGTAGAATCAACAAACAAATTAAATCGCTTGTCTCACAGAATCTCACTAAAATGAAACGTGTACGTGTCGCAGCAACAGAAAAACAAAGTGATATTGATGTGATATAAAGTGATAAAAACGCGGTCCAGTCCAGAAATTGGTACGTGGTAGGTATATAGACAATTATATACAAAAAAAAGTTTATCAGTAAAATAAAAAATCTACGAAAACTATTTAATTACAACTTGGAAGAATAATTTTTCTTGATTCGTAAAATACTTTTATCACATAAACGTACACACACTTTGGGTAATAATAAAAAAAATCAATTTTGCATGTAGTTTAAACACTTTTGTAATTTCCGTGAGAAAATTACGGACAAGTGTTAAAATGAATGATGACATGAATGGGAACATGTTTTAAGAGAGAGATTTATAAATGAAAAAGAGGAGCATTTTTACAATCCGATTTTTGGCAAAAAATGTATGGTAAGAATATGAATATTTAATAATACATCATGCCGTATGTAGATATTAATGTCAACCTTTTTTGTTACCAAGAAAAAAAATAATAAAAAAAAAACAACGTTCTCAGGAAAAGACGTCAATAAAATTTCGAAAAGAAGGTATAACTTTCACTGTTTTTTTGTGACCGTTAGAGGATGCATTTCTCTGAATTAGTTTTCAAATGATTAAAGCTTGAAGCGTAACTGACAACGATAATTCGCTCCTTTCCTTTTCGACTCCTTTCCTGGGTATATACAATTCCATGAAATTCCTTTCTTTTCAAGATACAAAGAAATTCTTTGAAAATGACATTCTAGCTTTTTCAGGTAGTGAAAACTCTGAACTAGTCAAAGAGGAAGGGAATTGTACGAGAACGTTAACAAGGACGGATGTCCATTTTAGAAAAGGAAGGAAAGAGTCAACGGGCGATCAGCTGATCGCCACCGCGCTGTTCCTCCACAATTTTGCCATGGCACGTGATTTTTTTTCGACGGTCCGAAGCAACCGTGATGTCAGGTAATAAGAAAGATGCCCCACAGAACGTCCACAGATGGAAACGAAACTCTCGACTTAACGGATATTCCTTAATAGTGAATTTCAGAAAATTTAATCGCGCATTGAGAAATATCTATATATATATATATATATATATATAT